GTCAATCTGAGTCATGCCAAAGCAATGCCCTATGCGCCCTGAAAGCCAGGTGCCACTCTCACCATCCCTCCCACCCACTACGACAGCTTAGCTCAGGGAAAAGACAAAGTAGCCCCTGGAACCGAGCTGGGTGGTTGGGACCCCCAGTCAGACCTCCCTCTCTGCATTGTCAAAATGGGCCTGGGGCTGCTGAGAGCCACTTTCCTACTCCAACTCAGGATGTCCATGCCCTAGTGGGTCAGGACGCCAGGCGGGCATGGCCAAGCTGTACACCACCCACTCCCCCGAGGCTGAGTCCACAACTCCCACCAAGGAGGCACAAGGCTTCTCAACCCATTTATAGCTAGAGGACCCGATGTGTAGCTGGGGAACACCCTGAGTGTGTTCTCACAAGCCTGGTTCCACCCCCTGTCCCTGGGCCCCTGGAGGGCTGGGAGCAGGGCCTCGGGCTTTGCCAAGGAAGAGCTGCAAGGCTTTTCTCCCTTGTCCACTCCCAGCCACGCCCCCACCAGAGAGGCTTCCCCCACAGCTGCGTGGGGCCACGTCCAGCCTGGGAAGGGCTCCTCTGCACCCTTGTCCAAGGATAGCTGCCTGGAGGCCAGCAACCCCACGCTGAGAGCATCCTGCAAAGAGGCCGGGCCGAGGTCTATCCGCATACCTCAGACAGCTCAGTCCTCCAGCCTGCCACCACCCCCCACCCACCCAGCCGCCCTCTGTACCAGCCCTGTCACCAGCATCCCCTTTCCCATAGCACCCAAGCTCGCCAGGCTGTGAATGCTGAGCCGGGCAGGCAGACGGCACAGGGCTCTTGGCTGGCACTCTCTGTGCTGCGGGGACTGGTTTCTATGCCACCCAGGCCTGTCATCTGGCATTAGCACTGCTCTCCTCTCCCCTCCCCTGTCCCCACTGCCCCCTCCCCAGCAGAACCCAGCTCACTTCCCCAGTGCTGAGAGGTCAGAGTAGCCCTGTGCCCTGTGTCTCTGGGCTGCCCCGATGTCCAGTCCTGAGCACTTCCCCAACCCCGGCAACTGCTCCCAGGCAGGAGGTAACAGCGGCTGTCTGTGCAAGCCCAGGAGATCGAGCAAAGATGGGCCCCATTCCCTGTGTCCCAGCCACCCTGCACCCCCACCGGCCCGTCATGCCTTCCCTCCAGCGTACAACACTCACCTTTCTTCACCCTGACCGCAGGCTCCTTAAATCAAGTAGCTCTAAACCGTCCAGTGAGACCCTCCCGGGATTCCTGGAGAAATCCAGACAGCACTGCCAAGCAGAGCGCGGTGGGCACTGAGTCCCCAGTCCACCGGGAGCGGGGACCTGGCGTGCAGCACACAGCTCCGGGGAGAAGGAATGCCTGCTGCCGGCTGCCAAGGGGACAGGGCTGCCGGGTCAATAACAAACTGAGAAGGAAAGAGGGAGGGACAGAGGGAGACAGATAGGAGCGGGGAAGAAAGGGGAGAGGAGAGCGCGCTCGTGTGCACGAGCAAAGAGACAGAGCAATGGAGTGACAGCTGGGGGTACATCTGTGATGACAGCGACAGCAGCACACACAGGCGAAGGCACGCGCGGTACGCGCGCACACACACACACACACACACACACACACCAGAGGAGCTCACGGCCAGAGGGCAGCGCTCACCCTTGAAATGTGAGAAAAAAGGCACCTATGGATTAATCGCTTCCAACTGGAGAGGAGGAAAGCTGTTGAACGCTGTTTTCCCGCGGACCTCCATCTTCCTTCCCCATGCTCCTCCAAGCTCTCCCTGCCCCGACCCGCCCCCCTCTGGGTCTCTCCCCTCTCCCCCCCTTCCCTTTGGAGAAGAGGGGCAGGACCCAGGCAGCAGGAGGCCGCTAGGAAGCGGCCTTGGTCTCCCGCAGAGCTATGCCGGGCAGTGTCTTCCATCCTGCTTGTGGAGAAGGAAAAACTGAACCTTTTCCCGGTCAAAAGGTGATTTATTCCAGAGAGGGTAACTGGAGGGGTGCACAGGGCAGCCCATCTGCCTGGCAGTCCTCCAGAGAGGGCCTTGAGCCACACAGAGTTGGTGTCACGTGGTCACACACAGGTCACTGAGCCTCAGTGACCCCAGCCCAGGGCTACTTAGGGGGGTACAATGCTCAGTGCCGGAGCAGACAGGCTGTGCGCTCAGGGGCAGCTGCAGCTGGGTGACAGGTTGTCAGTAGGGCCCCGGGGGTGGGGGGGGCTCTGGAGGAACCCCGGATAAATGCAGCCCCGCCCCACCATGTTTGGCTTTTCCAGGCTCCTTGCTCTTATCTAGATGGGGTAGGAATGGAAGGGAAAAAAGCTGGTATTCAAGAATTCGGAAGCCTCGTTACTAACCGATCAGGACAAAGAAGTTGGGGAAATTGATATTCCAGGAGATGGCAAGCGTGTGATCCAAAGGCAAAGGAAGCCAGGGACTAAGCCAAAGGAAGAGCACGGCCGGGAGCACAGACCCTGAAGTGACCCTTCTTTGAATCTCTTAAAATCTGCCTGTCAAGAATATGGCATAGTGTGTTGCCAGTATGTCAGGGATATCCCAGCGTCCCTCTTCCATTTCACCTGTGTTTCTCGTTCCTCGAGGGGGGGTGGGGGCGGGTTCACCATCGGTGGGGGGGGCGGCAGGAAGCAGGTCGAGAAACTCCCCTGACTCAGGATGCCTCTGGCAGACGCTCCTGCACCTCCTTTCTGTCTGCTCTGCTGGACAACACAGCAGCGAGGGCTCAGACTGCTGTCACAGGAGGAGAGAGAGCATCTTCTACCTCCTAGTAATGCCCTGCCTCTCACCTACCCAGTTGTCACATGCATCCTACCTTCAAGCAAACTGCACCCACTTGCCTCTAAACAGAGTCTGCTTCTCCAGCTCCTTCCCTGAGTCTGGAACACTCTCCTTCCCCATGGGTAGCCTTCCCCCTCTTAAAAACCCAACCAGAAAGTCACCTCCTTTACGAAGTTTCCCTGGGCTAGCCCACAGACTTGACCTTCTCCAATCTATAGCCTTTCTTTGGGCCATCCTTGTGATTCTTATTGCAGAAAATGTATAGTAGCTTTCTGTGATGTGGTTTATCTTCTTTCATATACTATGAGCTGTTCCGGAAGACGGACTTTGCCTCTCCCATGCTCCAGTGCCTTCTTGTCAGCTGAACGAGGGATACAAGGGAAGAGCCCAAGCCTAGGTATCAGAGGACCCAGAGTCTAGACTCTGTTGCTCATTAACTAGCTATTAGGTTAATGAACCTGACAGCCCTGGGCCTTGGTTTCCTGCTCTGTAGAATGAGGAGTTAGAATGATTGAGATCTTTAGTCTCCCTTCTGTTACTGGCACTCCATGACCTTGAGCATCTGCTGGCTTCCCGGCCTATAGGTATAAAAAATGGGCCCCTCCTAGCCTCGCAGCTCTTGATCAATTAAACAGTCTCTGGGCTGAGAAGGGGGAAGGACAAAGGAGATATGAGAGCTAGTGGGTAAAATGTGGAGGTGCTGACCCCTGGGAGCACGGCTCCCAACAGGGATCACTTCACACACACGCACACGCACAGCTGTTTTGCTTTGCCATCTGTGATGACAAAGCAGCACTGAGGTGACAGCCAGGCCTCAGAGCAAAAGAGGTACATCTTGATAAGCCGTCTGCTGCCTGTGGTCTTATTGAGGCTCTTTGTTAGGTTGTCTGACAGCCAAGCAGACAGGTTGCTTTGGAGGAAGGCACGAGATCATTGTGGAGAGGCAGAGATCTTTGTGCAGAGGCAGGGGAGAGAGAAGGGCAAGAGGAGAACCCAGGGGAGAGAGAAGGACAGGCCCGGCTAGGGGCAGGAGGAAGGGGATGTCATTTTTCGACCTCTACCAAATTGTGGCAGGACCTGGGGGACAAAGGTCAGGCTCTGAAACAAGGACCAATCATGCCCAGGTGAGAGGGGGAGGTCTCTTAATAACCCACAGCAGGAGCAGCCCAGAAAGGCCAGGTGCCTCACATTCCCTCAACCCCTTTGCTTGGATTTCTCTGCACCAGGAGGTCTGAGCCTGTCTGCAAACACAGTACCATGAGGTATTGTCTCCTGCACACAGCAGGCTGATAGGAGGTACTGGGAGGGAGGCTGGACAGCCTGGTGCTCCCCTGACATGGGGGGCCAGTGAGGTTCTGACAATGGCTGACCACCTGAGCAAGCAGAACAGGGACCCAAGGGTCATGCTGGCAGGTCTCCCAGGAGAGAAGAAGGCTGGGCTCCCTCAGTGTCTGGGGTGGAAAATGCAGTTTGGGTTATAAGGCAGGAGTTGAACAGGACTTAAAATGATGAAAGCCATTAGGCAGAACAGACAGTTTGTTGCTGAACAGGCTCCCATGCCCCTCACTCCCTCCCCCATTCTGTCCCCCGCCCCGGACCCCCCTCCCACCACCACCAGGATCTAGTGCTTCCTGCCCTGAGGAGGTTCTCTTTGTCTCCCCTGAAGTCCCCATCCCTTAGCGGGTTCCTTCCTAGGCCTTCAAGGGAATCAGAGCACAGCTTCATCTCTAGGGTCCCAAGTCTGGATCTGTAAGAGGGTGAGGCTCCATATGGGAGGAAGGAGTTCAGCACGGTCCTGAACCCTAAAGGTAAGGGATGAGACTGAGAATTCATTTCCCCATCAAGTGGCTGGCTCAGTGGAATTCACAAATATTTACTTATTTAATTCAAAAAATATTTTTGGAGCTCCATAATATGTTAGATACGATGCTAGGTGCTGGGGATCAGAACTCACTCCCCCATGCCTACTATTAGCCCCCATGCCAATAAGGTGAGACAGGCAATAAGTGAGGATAAAATAAATAAATCATGTTCCTGAGAAATTAAAAAGTGATGAAATGAGAATGAAAGGTGAAGAGGTGGGCTGCTCTATCTGGAGAGGTCAGAGAAAGCCTCTCTAGGGGGTGATGTTTGGGCTGAGATCTGATGACGAGAAGGAGCCAGCCATGTAAAATTCTAAGGGAGGAGCATCCCAGGAAGGAAGGACAGCTGATGCAAAACCCTAGGTGGGAACGAGACTAGCATGTTTGAGGGAGAAGATGATTCAGGTTGAAATCAGAGAGAATGGCAGGGCCGGCTCCTGTGGGGTTTTGAGGCGATATTACAGAGGACTTTAGATTTTGCTCCAAGAGCAGAGGAAAGGCATTGGAAGGTTTTAAGCAAGGGAATGACGTGATTTGATCTTCAGAAAGATCACTGTCACGGCTCTTGGAGAACGGATCACAGAGGGGCTGCACATCACAGAAGGTCTAGCACATTAATCCAAGTGAGAGATGTTGGTTTGGCCCAGGGTGGAGCAGACAGACTTACCATGTTTTGGAATAAGGTCTGCAGAAATTGCACGGAGTAAGGGAAAATGATTACAGTTAAGTGGAATATGCCCCAAATGGGGAAGTCTCAAGGAGGGTCACATTCTGGGGAGGAAAAGCCCAAGCTCGGTTTTGAACATGTGAAGTTTGAAATGCTCTTGGTGACGCAAGTGTGGAGATGTAGTAAGCAGTTGGATTGTCCTCAGTTCTGCGAAGGATCCCAGATACGAAGGACCCAGAGCTTGTCTTAGGGGGACTTATGCACCAGCTGTGGGACCGAACCTAGGGGGAGAGTCTGCTTTGTTCCCCTCCCAGTTCTACCCAAGAGTCTCAAAAAGCTGTTTCCTTAGGGGAAAACAAACCCCCACTCTCTCAAGACTCTGTGTTTGAATCATAGAATTTCTTCTAGCTCGGGAATGTCATGATTCTATGCACCTTGGCTCTGAGCAAGCAGGTAGAGAGGCAGAGTCTCCCTCCAGGAATAGCCTGAAAGCTCTTTGACCAAGGAAGCCAAGGACAGGGGTAAATAAGCTTTCCTAAATCCCAAAGATTTGATCATTCTAAGCATTAGTGTGATGGCTCTCTGACAATTTTTAGAAGGTTTCTCTTCTTTCACTCAGCCTTTTTCTATAGGTAAAAGAAATTGTCTCAAATGAATATCAAGGGCGGTCTTAAAAGGAAGAATAAGAGGGAGAGACTGAGGAGTCCCCTGCAGGGATGGAGGGAACTGTGAGAGGGAGGAGGATATGTGACAACCAGCACCGGGCCCTCCAGCATAAGCACTGTGTGTGGATTATGGCTGTCTGTGTGTCTTTTGTTTCTGTCATGACCAAGAAGTCCATGTACCTGTGCCCTTCCCACCTACTTCTTTCAGCCTGCAGACCTTGAAGCAACAAAGGAGTGCACAGAGAACTCAAATGTTCCCATATTATAGGACCTGCTCAAGAAACCTAGCCATACTTCCAGCCACAGAACTGTCATGAGACTCCCAGGGGAGGGGGGAGGGGCCTCTGAGGGCCCTGGTTCCATCATCTGTAACCACATGAACTCTAGAATTGCATTATCCAACATGGTGGCCACCAGCCACGTGTAGGTATTTAAATTTAAATTAATTAAAATTAAATAAAATAAAAAAAAATAATAAAATTAAATAAAATCCTAAAATTCAGGTCCTCAGTTATAACAGCCACATTTCAAGGGCTCAATAGCCACATGTGACTAGTGGCTACTGTATGAGACAGTGCAGAGCTAGAACAGCCCCATCATTTCGGAAAGTTCAATCAGACAGCATTGCTTT